CACATACTTTGCTTCACATAGCACATATAGGCACATATAGTGCTAGGTTTCTTTTATTTTGTTATTTTGCATCAGACGCAATCTATGTGTGTCTACACTGAAGTGCCCTGTGTGTGTGCTCTTCTCCTCTCCTGGGTTTCGCCTGTGGACGTCGCTTCCTGGGAGGACCTCTACACCATCGCCTGATTCGGTTGCCTGCTGCCTGAGGGTCCGGTTCGCTTGGGTCTGGACATCCTGTGGTTCCTGCCGTGGTTGCTGGAGTTCTACGGTTCGCCTGGGGCCTGGTCCAGTCCCTGCTCATCTGCTTCCTTCTTGAGGATTATAAGTGGAGTTATCTTTTTAAGGCCTAGTCTACACGTAGCCGGGGTTTTTTAAAAACGAATATCCGCCCCTCCAAAAACTTGCATCCACACCACCACGTTTAAAAAAGAAAAACTGTCCACACGTACCCGGATAAATACGTTGTTAAGGACATGCCCGACCTGTAGGCGGCAGTACTTCCCCCGTTCTTAACCTCGTCCTTCGTCTGTGGTCTTCCGCAAGGAGCAGTAATTCCACTTGCAAAAACAAACAAGCAAAAAGCGCTTGGACAATTGATGGATCGGGTAGTGACAGAGCGCAGCTCTGAAGGCTTCCATGATGCCGGCTAATGTAAACACAGGTCGCACACGTGATGTCAGCATTTTTTGTCGCGGAAAGTGACGTTGCGGACCTTAAAACTCCGGTTTTGTCCGTCCACACGCAGACACCCAAAACGGAGAAAACGCAGATCTTCACTTTGGCCGGAGTTTTTAAAAAGATCCGTTTTCGTGTGAAAAAACTCCGTTTTCGTGTGGATGACAGGCCGAAACGTAGAAAAATATCTACGTTTTGGCAGATCCCCGGCTACGTGTGGACAGGGCCTAAGTTTGGGGGCAACATTGACTATTCTCTGGTGTGGGGGGTTGCTTTCCTCACTCCTGTTGCCTTTGCCTGGAAACTAACTTGTGCTTCCTCGACTGAGTCCTTAGGGCCTCTGGGACTGTGCAATGGTCCGTGGTTTCTGCCAGGACCCCGTGCCCTTGCAAACGGGGGATATGTAATGTCCACAAATGGTCAGTTTTTAGGTACTGTTTTAGGTAATGTTACTATACTGTTTAACCATCCAACATCTGGTCAAAAAGGAGACACAAGACTGCATGTGTTCCCTTTAAATCAGCCTGCCTTCATCCCACCAGCTGGAGTTCAGAGCCTGCAGCTCTGACAGAGATAATGAAATGTCAACAATAACATTCTCTCCTCAAGGTCCCTCACAGAGCACCCTTTTATCTAAGACTTCTTGCTTCACAGAAGAAGATTTTAAAACTAAATATGAACTTCTAAGACTTATAAGATAATCATTAAACGTTTGTTTATTGCTACTTATGATAATTAATATAATGAAATGCTTTCATTAAGCTGTGCTCAATGATTGATTGCATGTTTATTTGACAAGGTCATCACCATTTGCACTCACACAAGGACAAAGTAAGGTAAAGTTAAACCCATGACACATAAATAGCCTTTACCCCAGATCAGAGCCTCCGGTATCAAAGAAGGGTGTTTCTGAGATTCTTGGTAATATCGCTCAAACTTGTCAACCTCTGGTTGGCTACACAATCATAACATGAGAACATTAAAACCAGATTACTCAGGTTTTCCTCAGTTCTAGAGAAAGCTTCAGACCGGGCCACCTGGAGCAACACCTCTTTAACCACCAAAGCTTTTGACACGTCGTCAAAACCTTTTTGCACCTGCGAAGATGATAAAGCAAATGGTTCCTGCAGAACGAGCTGATATTGTTTAGACACCTTAAGAGTCCACCACAGACACGTGGTTCCATCCATCTGTCATGTCCCGAGGCATCTCTGGACTGAAGGGTCAGGTGCCACGGTATTCTACAGCCCTTCTGTGCCAGAGGTCATCCGACCTCTCTGACCTTTGGATCCACCAAGAGGGTCTCTGAAAACGGGTGAAGTAGACACATAGACAGCGTCTGATGTGGTTTTTGATAATAATCAACTTCATAGCTTAACGCAAACCAAATTCTTTTACATCCAGAACTCATCTCTCCTAGATATGGAAGTTCTGACTAACATCACATTCACACATAGGTTCCTTCCATCCATCACAGTAAATGCTTAATTAACTTGTCATGTCTTGATTGTTGGTAAAATAAATTCTTACTTTTACAAACCTGACTGTTTTCTGAATCAAAACGAAGTGTGTACAATCCCCTAATAAATAAAGAATCCTAGCATCTTCTGATTAAAGCACAATAAAGACCAGGCAGGACGATATTTTATATTTAGATAGAGTATCACAGCTTATTGGTCATAAGTAGTGGTATATATATATATATTGAGCTCTTAAAGCACTCAATTTACCAAACCCTACAATTTCTTCCATAGTATTCAGTCAGCTTCGAATGGTGAGTTGGACATTATTTAGCATGTCCTAGTTTACTGTGGCTACAGTTATCTTCTGGATTTGACCATGAAGAATGGTATTTACAACCTGTGCAACCAGGTGGCAGGAGTACAACATAACTTAAGAGTGCTTTTAATATCGCTATATATTTATATATTTCACAATGGGGTTTTTCTCCAATACTGTGCAGCTCTAATACAATAGATGAAAACAGTCCGTATGAATAAAAACACAATGGCTTAGGGCTTGTATGAAGCTACTGTTGGTGAACAGCCGATGTTGCTTGAGGGATCAGCAGCAGTGATGACTAGGAATCCGTTGATGGGAGCAGCTGCTGTAAGTTATTATTACCCAGAACATGCAGTCAAAATCAAGCTACTGAACAAATGTTGCAAGTGTATTTACCAGCACAGACAACAATGTGCCAGACAGAGGTGATGGGCGCTGAGACCAAACTAGAGATGCTCATCGATGGATTTCAATCAGACATACTTTCTTTAGTTTGTCCATGCTCGCTGGAGGGTTTTCAGAGCTTCTTTGGACCCTGGCTGATTTTCAGAGTAGTCCTTGTACCAGACTATTTTTAGAGGAAGTGTATTGCTTGCTAAGTCAATTAACACAAAAGTTATGAATAATTCAAGCATAAAAAGGCAGCTAATTTATGGAACCAGCAGCGCTCAGTTCATAGCAGAAAACTTGGCAAGGAAAACATTTTTAATTGTATCTTTAGGCTAGGGCTGCACAATATATAGTAAATATATCGTTATCGCAATATCAACAAGCACAATATGCATATCGCAAAGAACAGATAAATATAGCAATGAATGGTCAGCTCAAATGTTTGCTACACATAATGCATTCTGTCAGTCAAACGGAAGTATCATGTTTGTTTTTTAACAAAGCTAATAGAGCTCTTCACCCATTTGGCCAATTGGGTGGGTTCTCATAGGTCAGATGCCCGGCCCCGAGGCGGACGGCCCTTAATTTTGATGGTTAGCAAACACCTGAGTTAGCTTCGTTAGCTCTGGGATCCAGTGAGTCCCTTTTCTTTTTCATTTCTTTTTCCCTTTCCTCACATCTTTTGCTTTTCTAATTTTAATGATTTTTTTGAATTTCTTTGTTTTTGATTATTTTTGTTCCTGAGTTAAGTTGTTATTTATCGCAAGTAATATCGTCATCACAATATTAATCATTGTTATCGAATATCGTAGGTTTTCCTAATATCGTGCAGCCCTACTTTAGGCATTTTATGCTTCTTGTTTGCATTTCTTTAGCTGCATTTTTGAAAATGTCAGATCGACTCAAACAGTCTAGAACTGATTTCATAAGGTGAAAAGTCTGGATAGTCTATTCCCGATTACTTATGGTCTGTAATTCAAGCCAATCACATTCTTTCTTCTTGTTTTTTAAAGGACATAATAATGATCCATAATAGTGACGTATGCTTTCAGGGGTGCGCTCACGACGCAGCGTGTCCTGCAGAAGCGAGCTGTCGTGCAGTCTGCCTTACTGACATCTTGTGTCACTGTGCCACCTTTCTGGAGTTCTCAACAATCTGGCCGAGAACCGCACAGTGTGATGCCGGCAGAAGATGCAAATACATCCTTTTTCTCTATTTGCTCTTGACTCAAAGATAGCCCTAGTAAAAATAGTCCAAAGCAGTTTCTAATGAGTCGTCAACACCTTAGTTTCGCCCAGTAGCATTAACACCCCGCCCACCAAACAGATAAGAGTGCTGTGATTGGACCGGAATCAGACAGTCCGGGGCTGTGGAGGTTCCGATGGAACGTGGCTAGACTGACATGCAGAGCAAAATCCTTTTGCTTCTGCTACTGACGGTCTGGATTCTAGGCTAGGACAGCACGTCATTTTTGATCAAGTTCAAGTATATTTTTCCCTCACAGGATTGCACCTACAAAATTTCACAGGAAGTCGCTTAATGCACCTTTCCCATAAATCGGTCCCTCGGAAAGTTGCGAAAGCCTCGGTGCAGTCTGCAAACCGGAAGCAGGACTCCAAATATTTGCCCTGACGGCCGAGCCTGCGTGTGAGGTTTCTGCTGATTCTCTTTCTTAGCATCGACACCACTCTGTGCCAGCCTTGCACGGTTAACTGTTGAGCTAAAGGCATAAATGGGTCTAGTTAGTAAGCCAAACCAGATGTAGACAAACAGCCAACATCTGGCTGAACATGAAGTGATTTAAGTCCAGTGGGTACCGTCCTTTATCTCCAACAGTAGGTCTTTCATGAAGACAGTATTAATATCTTCAAAGCTACTGACATTCCTTTCATGTTATTTAAAAATGACTCTCTTTGACTGGAAAAATCGGAAGTTTCTGGAATAAAAACTTGAGTCACACTTTATCATAAAAACGTATGTTGAAACGAATAATATGGTTGCTTTTCCATCGTGTTAAGGCATCAGATCCGGTAATCCTTCCTCAGATCATCCACAGAAGGACCCGACGCTTCTGTCCTCCACAGAGAGAACAGCTGTGGGTAGCACAGCAGAATTAACAGGCGAGCACAGAAATGGTGCCATACTAACTTACAAATCCTCTTGTTATCTCACCGTAGCAGCCATGCTCGCCCTGTCCTCCGAGAGCTCTTCTTCTCCTCCTGCGTCGGCTGGCAGGGTCCACAGCAGACTGAGTCAGCCTGACGACAGCTGCCAAAACCCCGCCAGCCTCATCCTCCAGACTCTGATGGATTGTGGGAGGGGAGTCGGGGTGATTAGCCCCTGACGTGGGAAAATGATTGCAGCATACCACCATAAAAGCGATTGCACCTGAGTGTCAGCACCTGGCACACGCGCTCCTTTAAGTGGAGCTCTTTTAGACTTCCACGTGCATCAGATTCAAACTCTGCACGTGTGCAGAAGGAAACGATGCATCAGAGAACTTAAATTCAAAAATATGCACAGTCTATACTGCAACCTTTGCTTCACTAGAAGATTTTTGCAACAAATGAAGTCACGTTTGCATCCGACAGCGGCTGTGCAAACATTGTTTACTATTGAAGTCAGACTAGAACTCACATCTGTGTCTTTTACCAACAGTTTTCTCCTCTCACAGCTACTAACGTATTAATCTGTGCTAGACAGAAATGTCAGTCCCATTATTGATTCATTTCTGGTTTGATGCAAAGCAGAAGAAAACAGAATCCTGTTATCCATTAAACATCAAGCACAAGATGTTCCAACTTTTTTTAAAAATACATAAATAAAAAAATCTTTGTTTGGAGGCAGCGCCTGAATCTGTGACTACGTTCACAAAGCTGCGTGGCGTAACACCAGGTAGATGAAATCAGGTCGTAAAGCAGAAAATAACCTCACAACAACATCTGGTCTCACAGGATCTCCCACAGCAGCACCTTTTCTTACGCTCTTTACAAACAGTTTGATTAGCTGGAGCTGAAAGGAAATATAAAATATGATTCTTAATGGTGCTATTGTTTTTCTGAACTTTATGGTCTTTATCCCTGTAACTGTTGATTTTACATTTACTTTACACCGCTGTGGCGGGTGATTGCTGCTAAATGCGACCACAAGGACAAGAAATCTTTCAGAGAACGTGTGACAGCGACTCTCCTGAGAAAAGGATCAATACTCCTGTCGACAATGTAGCAATCCTGCCATGCGTGGCGCATATTAATTCACATTATGGTCCATTTGGAGTGAAAGTTCAAAAAGCTTTATGATGCAAAGATTTTTTATGTGTAAAAGCACAAAAGTCTTACTTTGTTCTAATCCCACGCTGATGTGAGAACACCAATAAGAACTTAATCCAGCTGCAGCTTCTTGCAGATATGCTTTCACTGAGTCTCTGAGTCTGCAGCCACTTTACAAAACTATCTAAATCTGATGTGAGGAAACTGCTGCCAAGTCTCACACATGCACCGAACCCAATAACAAACGATAACAGCTGATAGTAAACATTACCTCTCTTGTTTGGCATAAGGGTGCACAACATAATCACAAGCGTTCAGCCGAGGAACAAGGAACAAAAACATCTGAGAATCACTAGTGTGTGTTTGCTGCAGCAGAAACTGATGTTTAAGCAGAACGCCACGAACAATCTGGTGTTTTCTGATTAGTATTAAATATATTTGACTCAATTTTTGATGTTTGTCTGAATTTTGGTGATTCTGTCTGTGCTCTGTAACTTGGGATTCCCATCTAATACTTTGAGAGGTAGAGAGGTAAAAAGTGGCTCAACAAGTCAAATGTTTGCATGTAGTATATGAACACGTGGTGTCTGTAAATCAAATCAAATAAAATGTATTTACTTAGAATTCGTTCCAATATTTTGTTTGTAGCTGCAACTTTAAATATTGAATAATTTAGTGCAAAAGTCCATGTTTGGGCAAAAAGTCCCTGATGTGACTGAAAAACGTAATTTGCATGAATTAAACTTGTATTTTATTATTTGCAGCAACAGTAACTCCATAGAAAATAGCAGACAAACTGGCGCTTATGAACCTTTGGTGGTTTAAACTCACATTTATTGAACGGGATATCTAATTGATGCCTACTTAAAAAATAAATAAAAGTATTACAGAGTGGACGCACGTCAGTGGTGGTCCAAGTGCAGCTGGACTAACTACACCGGCTGGCTGATGTGGCTGAAATCAGAACGAAGCAGACCCCGAAGCGGCCGCAGAAAGCAGCCGAACTGCCTTGATGTCCCGATCAGAATTAAAATGAGGACATAATGTTTCAGTGGTGAAGATGAGAGAAAAGACATAAGCAGCCATATGTCTCATTTGGCCTGTTAGCCAGCAGTGGTCACAACAAAATGTATTTACTCAGGAGCGACGCTAGCTACAGAGGCTACTTACCGCTGAGAAAACGGTCCGGTACGTCCCGAAAATGAGGTAAAACCACCCGAGGGGTTTGACGAACGGTAGAAATATCCCAGGGTAAATTCAGGACGACTAGAGTCCCCGGACAAGCTTGTGGTATCGCATCGTTTCCATCTCGCAGCGTTCAGAGCTCCATTAAAAGCTGCATTGTTGGAGAGACGGCTGGACGCAGCAAAGCATTATGGGAAACGATGCTGAGAGATCTGAGCCTTCAACGCACGGGTGAAAACAGGAGAAACCGCACCCCCTGGTGGTGGTTTGGCGTCTCTACATAAAGTGTCTTTATATGTAACCAAAAAAGGATAAAAAATGTTTGTATTTCTGCTTTGTTTTGAAGAAGGTCATCAAAATGTGATCGACTAATAACAAAGTGAAGGGAAAAATCACAGTCACATATTTCTGACACTTCTACGGCCTCTTTACCTGCTTTTACATAAAAAAAATCAAGATATTATATTAACAATGATAATAATAATAATAATAGTAATTGTATTGTCATTGCACACTAGGCCTACAAAGAAACGTGACTAACAATTAATTTCCTCTTATATCCAAACCCCAAAAGGCCATACAAATAACAAATACAAAAAGACTTAGCGAAAATACATAATACATTAATACATAAACATAAATAACATTGCATACTGTAGCAGTTATTCAGCTTTAAATAATAAGACAGCTAATATTTTGTTGCAGGTATTTTATGGGGAATTTGGTATTTCTGAGCCATGGACAACGTGTTTTGAATCTGAAAATTGAGTTAATCCTTTATAAAAAAATTATATACATATATGCACACACACACACACACACACACACACACACACACACACACACACACACACACACACACACACACACACACACACACACACACACACACACACGTTTGCAACTTAATACGTTCAAGACAGCAGGGATGAAAGAAGAAAAATATTTATTTGTTTAGTTGACATTTAAAATTGTCATCTGTTTGTTTATTCGTTTATTTATCTTTGTTCAAATGTGAAAAATTCTGTGTTTGCGTCTGTAGTTTATGACGTGATTCTTTAGGGGGCGGTAGTGAGTCAATAAAGACATAGATCTACAGAAGGGTTTACAGAAGAAACCGTCGCATGGTGATGACGTCTGAGCAACTGGGAGAAATGGAGAGAAAACACATGTCTGCCTTTTCTCTGTATCAAGGTCTGCGGCCAAAGGGTCCACCTCCTGCTAAGAAGCCCTCCATCCAGGTGCGAGTGTTTAACATTTATGTCGACTCCACATTTCCCGTTAATTTAGTTGTTTCTCTGCACTTTGTTTTCTCCATCATCTCGGCTGCGTTTGGTTTTTGCCCTCCCATGTATGATTCATCAGATGGAAGTGAAGAAAAAGAGGAAAGTTGGTGCGGCTCCAGCTGTCAGTGTTAAAGCGTTAAAGGCAAAGAGGAAGAAGTTCCGGCAAAAGCTCCTGAAGGCAGCCCAGAGAGAGGAGTTCCTGCCGCCAGTGACCGATGCTAAGGTAAGGATGCGGACCTGGTGTTTCAATGAAGATACTGAATCACCTGTGGTAACAATACTTGTGTGTGTGTGTGTGTGTGTGTGTGTGTGTGTGTGTGTGTGTGTGTGTGTGTGTGTGTGTGTGTGTGTGTGTGTGTGTGTGTGTGTGTTTAGGAGGTGCAGAAGTGTGTTATTGGAGAGTCTTTAGAGGCTGTTCTGACTGAGCTGGCCAAAGTCAATAGCAGCAGGGAGAGAGCCTGGAAGCTGCTTCAGTGGATCATGAGACCCGTTCCCATCAAAGACTTTTTCAGGTAGTTTTTATCAACTTGATTCGACCACACTGGAGCTCCTCTGTTGAACCATCATTTTAGTGTGTTTTTATGTAACTGCACATCACAATCACCCCTCCCCCCCCCCCAAGTCATTTTTTATTTCTGTGGCAGACTGACCATAACTGCTACAGGAAACCCTCCAGAGTGAGATGCAGCTTTATATTACAGCTGGTTGGATTTAGCACCAGATATAAAAAGGATGCAAGGATTGTAACAGTGTTTTAACTAGAAAATTTGGTAAAATGCAAGACATCACGTGCAGATTTTTAAAAGACACACTGCCGTTTTCTTTTTTAAGAGAAACCTGGGAAAAGAAGCCCGTCTTTGTGCAGCGCAGCAATCCAGATTACTACAAGGGTCTGTTTTCAACGGCTGAGTTTGATCGCATATTGAGGGAGGTAAGGATCTAAAAAAATCTCAGAATAATTATCAAGTTCTATTAGAATTTTTTTTGCTAAAAATGTTATTAACATTGAGCCAGTTAGATAAAAACAAAACTCAACCAGAGAGCTTTTGCTGTTTAATAAAGGAAGATGTTCAGTATGGCGTGAACCTGGATGTGACCAGCTACGTTAACGGCAAGAGGGAAACTCACAATCCCCCAGGAAGAGCTCTGCCCTTCACCGTGTGGGACTTCTATGATGTGAGAACAGTGCAATAGTCTCATTTATGATCTAATTGCTCTCGGTGCAGAACTGCAGCATGATGTAAACGTGTAAAGCTAGAAGTGGTTTCTGTTTTGTAGAGCGGCTGCTCGGTCCGCATGCTGAATCCTCAGGCGTTCTCCTCCACTGTGTGGAACGTGCTGTCCATCCTCCAGGAGCAGTTTGGCAGCATGGCAGGAGCCAATGTGTATGTTTCAGAAGTCTGTTTTTGCCCAATCTCAGTTTTAAATGTTTTAATTATCTCTTATATAATCAGATACCTGACACCGCCTGGAACTCAAGGCTTTGCTCCACATTATGACGACATCGAGGCCTTTGTGGTTCAGCTGGAGGGGAAGAAACATTGGCGAGTTTACAGCCCGAGGTGAACTAAAACAGAGTCAGCTTTAGATCCTTTTAGCATGCTAACATTTTACTAAACAATTCTGGCTAAATTTGAAGTGACATTTGGACGCATTGATGTGTTTTCTTTTGCCTTTTAGTGTAAAAATGTCAGAAATGCACTAAATAGTTTTGATCTGGTCTAATTGATTCATTTTTGCCTCTGTTCCTAATGGACAACCATCTGAGTTAACATTGATTTATCACATGGATTCTATGTTTTTACTTAGTTTTTCTGTGTTCTAGATCGGAAGATGAAGTTCTGCCCGTACTTTCAAGTCGTGAGTAAACTGTTAACATGATTTCATAGAGAAAATGGTTAGGTTTTGTTATGTGCAGCAGTTTTATCTTTTAAAGCGTTGTTGCAAACGTTCCTCAGAAGATTCTCCTTTGGGATATTTCCTCAGCTAACTTTGATCAGTCTGACATCGGGAAGCCGATCCTGGACGTGGTGCTGGAAGCCGGAGATCTCCTTTACTTCCCCCGAGGGTTCATCCATCAGGGCGACTGCCTTCCAGAAGCACACTCTCTGCACATCACGATCTCATCGTACCAGAAAAACAGCTGGGGGGATCTGCTGCACAAGGTTAAAACTAGTTTTCCAACTCTGCTCTACTTGTTAAGATAACGCAGCACAGCAGTAAATGTTTATTATTGGGATTTAGGCCCTGTCCACACATAGCCGGGGATCTGCCAAAACGTAGATATTTTTCTACGTTTTGGCCTGTCATCCACACGAAAACGGAGTTTTTTCACACGAAAACAGATCTTTTTTAAAACTCCGGCCAAAGTGAAGATCTGCGTTTTCTCCGTTTTGGGTGTCTGCGTGTGGACAGACAAAACAGGAGTTTTAAGGTACGCAACGTCACTTTCCGCGACAAAAAAATGCTGACATCACGTGTGCGACCTGTGTTTACACTAGCCGACAGCATGGATGCCCTCAGAGCTGCGCTCGCTTTATCAATTATCCAAGCGCTTTTTGCTTGTTTGTTTTTGCAAGCGGAATTACTGCTCCTTGTGGAAGACCACAGACGAAGGAAGAGGTTAAGAACGGGGGAAGTACTGCCGCCTACAGGTCTGGAATGTCCTTAACAACGTATTTATCCGGGTACGTGTGGACAGTTTCTTTTTTTAAAACGAGGGGGTGTGGATGCAAGTTTTTGGAGGGGCGGATATTCGTTTAAAAAAAACCCGGCTACGTGTGGACTAGGCCTTAATTTAGGGGTTTTGGTGGAGGCTCAAAAGTTCTCAAAGAAACCTGGATAAATATATACATTTATTAAATGTTTCCATTTGTGAATGAGTTAAAGGCTTTCTACCTCAGTCAACTAAAATTGATCTGATTAAAACTGCAAACTAAATGAAGCTGGACACAAATAGGAAATCAAATTAGACTGGGACTGCTTTAATCGTTGTATTTGACTTAAGAAGTCTATGAAATGAGCCCGTTTGCACTGGAGAATTGATTCTTGGGGCATCTTCATTCATCTTCAAATGGAAATAAAGCAACCAGAAATAACTCGGGTGAAGAACAGATCTCCGAGCAGCGACGCTCACTCGCTCTACTGCAGACATGCTGTCACCATTTGTCATTAAAAAAAGCCTCAAACACACGTTGGCTCTAAATGCTCTGAGGTTACTTATCTCTTCTTTTTGCATCCAGAAAAGCATCTTTCTGTTTCTCAGGTCATTCCTGCAGCGTTAGAAATTGCGATGGAGGAAGATGTGGAGTTCAGACGCGGTTTACCTTTAGATTATCTGACCTACATGGGAGTGCAGAACTCTGATAAGGTAATCTGTTTTTTTATCCACTCCTAATTGTTGTCGCTTGTCTGCTGATGAATTGAACTGGTTTTGTACAGGAGGACGCTCGCAGGGTCAGATTCCTCGCCCGGATTGAGAACCTAATGAATAAGCTACCGACCTACGCCCCGGTGGACGCAGCCGTCGACCAGAAAGCCAGAGAATTCCTACATGACTGCCTGCCTCCTGTGCTGACTCCAGGTACACGTAGCGTGACGAGTAAAGTACGTGAATGGGCGCTTTGAGATTCTAATTGTTTGTGTCTGATCACAGATGAACTGGCTACCAGTGCCCGAGGAGCTCCAGCTAGATGGGAGGACGGAAAGGTGAAGGATGTGGGCACATACATGACGACACAGACGGAAATCAGAATCCTTCGAGCCGGGTGTGCCAGGTAACGCAGATGTCATCAGTTATGTTCTTTTAAATGTGGGAAACTTTTTACAAAATCACTTTTCTCCCAGGCTGGGCAGCGACAGAGATGCTGTTCACCTTTACTACACCACGGACAACTCCAGAGTTTATCACAAAGAGGAGCTGAAGAGTTTTGAAATACAAACAGAGGTAGAAATAATTAAATCTGTTTATAAGATTTCATCTACATTCTAATTGGTACTTTATTTATCTTTAGCACACGGATGCCGTTGAGTTTCTGATCCACTCGTATCCCAACTTTGTGACAGTAGGAGGCTTGCCATGCGACTCTGCTCAGGACAAGGTGGGTTCTGACATTCAAACTCGTTTCTGTGCCTTAATGGTGTGAATTTCTGAAAATAATCTAGTTTCCTCTCTCCTCACAGATTGCTTTGGCCGAACTGCTTTTTGAGAAGGGGATTATCCGCACAGCTGAGCCTCCTCAGATAGCTTAATTACACCGACCATGTTCATAAACAAACTTCAGTAGTCATGGATACGGTTCTTTCTCAGCTTTTTGATACATAATGTATAAAATAAACATTATTTCTTTGAAACACAAAGGGCATGTTTATTTTTTTAGTTGATACAACTCAAAATAATATACAGGATGTTTTTCAATTAAGCGATTTGAAGACCATCCATCAACCATTCACACTTCAGCTGACAGGACTGTCTGGGCATCTACTTCCAGGTCACCTCTTCGCCAGGCTTCAGCTCTCTATGAAGAAGAAAGGAGGTTTGTTTTCCATGTGGCTGCATTAAAAAAATCTTTATTCCACACCTGAACTTGCTGCTTGCAAAGTTAGATGAATTGTGAGACCGTGGTATGTGTGTGTGAGGTTTCTTACCTTCTAAACAACACACTTTTGTTCCTGAAAGCTGTCAGCTTCTGGTCTTGTTGTTTATCAAGGTACCATCCGATCACAAAACCCATAGGAACCAATACGTGTGTCCAGTTTATCTGAGAAAGAGCAAACTTCACCATGGTTCCTACAAAAAAAAGCAGAGTTGTACTAACTTCATAGTACTGATTGTTTTATATTCACTAAAGCTTGTTACTGGTATCAATCAAGTTTAAGCTTGTTCCTGCTCTTTTTTGGGGGTGGGAGTTGTTTTCAGTTGTAGTATGTTATTATCCAATTTATTTTTTCTTTTTTAAACAAAAGAAAACATGTTCATAAGAGCCAAGCTCCAAAACAACGACATAATTATGGCCATCAGCTTATTGATGTTGGATCAAATGCAATAAACAAAACATCCCCCTAAAATATATGATGTAGGACATTTTATTAAGCAAAGAAAATGTTGAAATTTAACCGAAAATACAGCTGGACACCGCATTCAGTTGAAGGTAAAGCGTTCCTCCACAGCTAACATGCTAACACTAGCGACTACTGCGACGTTTGGTTATAAATAACTTTACCTGTTAATGTTTAGTTTAATAAACGTTCGCTCAAAGCTTTTATAACCATCAGACTCAGACAATAAAACATAAATCCAGAAATTACCCGCTTTTTAACACAGTCGTGGCCTTCAGGTCTTCCTTCACCAAACGAAGGACATTCGTGGACTCTACCAAATGCAAAAGGATCACGTGATCATGAAAATCGATAAATACTTACATATTTATTTCATTATATTCTATATTCATTATATGGAATTCCAATTTTTTTGCATTTTTTATGTTTTAAGTTTAATATAAAGAACTTTACATTATGTGTTTTGATTTAGAACTTCTTGACTGTAAGTGGTACGTTCATTTGCCCTTTCACCTGTGACGAACGTGAAAACATGGCCGTTAGTCGAGCTTTTAATTGCTAACAAAAATGTCTTGGATGTTATTATTACAAGAAAACCCCCACATTTAGGCGTTTTTTTCTGTTACTGCGAAAGATAATATTTATTTTTTCTTGTATTTGATGGTATGTCTCCCATTCCCTTGATTTTGTTCATTCATATACGCAAGCTAATATGTGGCTAAGCTAGCAGGCTAAGCAGACTGCCGGGTAATTCGACAACAATAGTTGCGAAAATTAGACAGCTTTCATTTAGATTTTCTTACGTTTCAACCTTTGTAACGAGATGAATACAAGCCCTTGTACTCACAGTGATATGAAATTCACTATTATTGTTCGGTAAAATAATGGCACATATGTGTGCGTGGTTTTGTTCAGATTCAAACTAGTTTCAAGATATAGACGTTGAAGTTGTTTGTACTTGTGGGCTCTGTTGTGTCATTTCAGCGAGACAAGTGAAGGAAAATGACGTCCATTATCAAGCTGACAGCCGTGTCAGGGGTTCAGGAGGAGTCTGCCCTCTGTTACCTGCTGCAGGTGGATGAATTTCGCTTCCTGCTGGACTGTGGATGGGACGAGAACTTTTCAATGGACATTATTGATGCCATGAAGCGGTAACAATGTCAAACCACAATTAACAATAAGAGCTATCCACAAGAAGGAATGGGTTGTTCATACATTTTCCAGAGTTGCTGAAAACATTTGATTTATTTCTTTATTGTAAAATCAGTTTGAACTCATGACTTAAGTAGTTTTTCCACCCCTAGCTCACTTAATTTTGTATTTGTTCTGCAATCAAAAATATTGTTCATCATCTCTTCCAGATATGTTCATCAGGTCGATGCAGTGCTGCTGTCCCACCCTGACCCCATTCACCTGGGAGCCCTGCCCTATGCTGTTGGCAAGCTGGGTCTAAACTGTACTATCTATGCCACCATTCCGGTCTACAAAATGGGTCAGATGTTCATGTATGATTTATATCAGGTACTTGAAATTGTAATTATATTTAAAAAATGCTAATATCGTCGTCGTCGTCTTCCTCCGCTTATCCGGGTCCGGGTCGCGGGGGCAGCATCCCAACTAGGGAGCTCCAGGCCGTCCTCTCCCCGGCCTTGTCCACCAGCTCCTCCGGCAGGACCCCAAGGCGTTCCCGGACCAGATTGGAGATGTAACTTCTCCAACGTGTCCTGGGTCGACCCGGGGGCCTTCTGCCGGCAGGACATGCCCGAAACACCTCCCCGGGGAGGCGTCCAGGAGGCATCCTGACCAGATGCCCAAACCACCTCAACTGGCTCCTTTCGATCCGGAGGAGCAGCGGTTCTACTCCGAGTCCCTCCCGAATGTCCGAGCTCCTCACCCTATCTCTAAGGCTGAGCCCGGCCACCCTACGGAGGAAACTCATTTCGGCCGCTTGTATCCGCGATCTCGTTCTTTCGGTCATTACCCAAAGCTCATGACCATAGGTGAGGATTGGGACGTAGATCGACCGGTAAATCGAGAGCCTGGCTTTCTGGCTCAGCTCCCTCTTCCCCACGACAGATCGGCTCAGCGTCCGCATCACTGCAGACGCCGAACCAATCCGCCTGTCGATCTCCCGATCCCTCCTACCCTCACTCGTGAACAAGACCCCGAGATACTTAAACTCCTCCACTTGAGGTAGGACCTCTCCCCCGACCCGGAGGTGGCAAGCCACCCTTTTCCGGTCGAGAACCATGGTCTCAGATTTGGAGGTGCTGATCCTCATCCCAGCCGCTTCACATTCGGCCGCGAACCTACCCAGCAAGAGCTGAAGGTCAGAGCTGGATGAAGCTAGGAGGACCACATCATCCGCAAAAAGCAGAGACGAGATTCTCCTGCCACCAAACTCGACACACTCCACACCACGGCTGCGTCTAGAAATTCTGTCCATAAAAGTGATGAACAGAACCGGTGACAAAGGGCAGCCCTGGCGGAGTCCAACCCTCACTGGGAACAGGTCCGACTTACTACCGGCTATGCGGACCAAACTCACGCTCCTCTGGTAAAGGGACTGAATGGCCCTTAACAGAAAGCCACCCACCCCATACTCCTGGAGCGTCCCCCACAGGGTGCCCCTGGGGACACGGTCATAAGCCTTCTCCAAATCCACAAAGCACATGTGGATTGGTTGGGCAAACTCCCATGCCCCCTCCATCACCCTTGCAAGGGTATAGAGCTGGTCCACAGTTCCACGGCCAGGACGAAAACCACATTGCTCCTCCTCTATCTGAGATTCAACTATCGATCGGACCCTCCTCTCCAGTACCTTGGCGTAGACCTTTCCAGGGAGGCTGAGGAGTGTGATCCCCCTATAGTTGGAACACACCCTCAGGTCACCCTTCTTAAAGATGGGGACCACCACCCCGGTCTGCCACTCCCTAGGAACTGCCCCCGATGACCACGCAATGTTGTAGAGACGTGTCAACCATGACAGCCCTACAACATCCATAGCCTTGAGATACCCAGGACGAACCTCATCCGCCCCCGGGGCTCCGCCGCTGTGTAGTTGTTTGACTACCTCAGCAACTTCTGCCCCCGAGATCGGACAGTCCATCCCCAGGCCTCCCAGCTCTGGTTCCTCCTCGGAATGCGCATTGGTGGGATTGAGGAGCTCCTCAAAGTATTCCTTCCACCGTCCGACTATAGCCTCAGTTGACGTCAGCAGCTCCCCATCCCCACTGTAAACAGTGTGAGCGAGTTGCTGCCTTCCTCTCCTGAGGCGCCGGACAGTTTGCCAGAACCTCTTTGGAGCCGATCGATAGTCTTTCTCCATGGCCTCACCAAACTCCTCCCACGCCCGAGATTTTGCCTCGGCAACTGCCACTGCTGCACCCCGCTTGGCTATCCGGTACCTGTCTGCTGCCTCCGGAGACCCACAGACCAGCCACGCCCTGTAGGCCTCCTTCTTCAGCCTGACGGCTCCCCGAACCTCTGGTGTCCACCAGCGGGTACGGGGGTTGCCACCACGACTGGCACCAGCCACCTTACGACCACAGCTAGCAACAGCCGCCTCGACAATCGCAGAGTGGAACAAGGCCCACTCGGACTCAATGTCCCCCACTGCTCTCGGGACGTGGTCAAAGCTCTGCCGGAGGTGGGAGTTGAAGACCGTCTTGACAGGTTCTTCTGCCAGGCGTTCCCAGCAGACCCTCACTATGCGTTTGGGTCTGCCAGGTCTACGCGGCATGTTCCCTTGCCATCTGATCCAACTCACCACCAGGTGGTGATCAGTTGACAGCTCCGCCCCTCTCTTCACTCGGGTGTCCAAAACATACGGCCGCAGGTCAGATGATACGACTACAAAATCTATCATCGACCTGTGACCTAGGCTGCCCTGGTACCAAGTGTACCGGTGGGCATCCTTATGTTCGAACATGGTGTTCGTTATGGCCAAACTGCGGCTTGCACAGAAGTCCAATAACAAAACACCGCTCGAGTTCTGATCAGGTGGGCCGTTCCTCCCAATCACACCCCTCCAGGTCAAGCTGTCATTGCCCACGTGAGCATTGAAGTCCCCCAGCAGGACAATGGAGTCCCCTGATGGAGCACTATTTAGCACTCGTCCCAGGGACTCCAAAAAGGGTGGGTACTCTGAACTGATATTTGGCCCATAAGCACAAACAACAGTCAGGACCCGTTCCCCGACCCGAAGGCGCAAGGAAGCTACCCTCTTGTCCCCCGGGGTAAACCCCAACACACAGGCAGAGAGTCTCGGGGCTAACAAAAAGCCAACCCCAGCCCTCCGCCTCTCACCCGGAGCAACTCCAGCAAAGTAGAGTGTCCAACCCCTCTCCAGGTCTCGGGTTCCAGAGCCAATGCAATGTGTCGAGGTGAGTCCGACTATATCTAGCCGGTACCGCTCAACCTCTGCCACAAGCTCCGGCTCCTTCCCCGCCAGCGAGGTGACGTTCCATGTCCCAAAAACTAGTTTTCTTGTCCGGGGATTGGACCGCCAAGGCTCCCGCCTTGGTCTGCCACCCGATTCACATTGCACCGGACCCTTCATGTTCCTCCTGCGGGTGGTGGGTCCACAGTTGGACGAGCCCATGTATCCGGTTCGGGCTGGGCCCGGCCGGGCCCCATGGGCGAAAGCCCGGCCACCAGGCGCTCGCTCACGGGCCCCAACCCCAGGCCTGGCTCCAGGGTGGAACCCCGGTAACCCTCCGGGCCGGGTACTCCGACTCTTCGTTTTCACCGCCATGAAAGATCCTTCGAACCGTTCTTTGTCTCACCCTTCACCTAAGACCAATTTGTCATGGGAGACCCTACCAGGGGCACTAAGTGCCCCAGACAACATAGCTCCTAGGATCATTAGGGCACTCAAACTCCTCCACCACGATAAGGTGACGGTTCAAGGAGGAGTAAAACTCTGTTTTTTAAAATATTTTCCCTTTCCCTCAGTCTCGAAACAACAGTGAAGATTTCACGCTCTTCACCCTTGATGACGTAGACAGTGCTTTTGACAAAATCCAGCAACTGAAGTACTCTCAGATTGTCAGTCTGAAAGGTGAGCATCCTACAATCCATTATAGATTAAAGAACCCTCCAGTTTATGTGGTTAAAATTATCTAATTTTCCTCACAGGTAAGGGCCATGGTCTTTCCATCACTCCTCTTCCTGCTGGACACATGATCGGAGGCACCATATGGAAGATTGTCAAGGATGGAGAGGAGGAAATTGTCTATGCAGTGGACTTTAACCATAAGAGAGAAATGTAAGCAGAGGTGTTTGTATAAAACAGAAATCTGGTAGCCTGTCGGGTTTTAGCTGATGTGTTCTTTTACTCCTCTCTGTTTCAGCCACCTGAATGGCTGCACTTTGGAGAGCATTAGTCGTCCATCCTTACTGATTACTGACTCCTTTAATGCTACTTATGTACAACCACGCCGCAAGCAAAGAGATGAGCTGCTGCTCAGTAAGTTGTCCTCACAACGGTTACCAATTTTAGCATCAGGCTTAAACTAGATTGAAAGAACTTCTTGAAAATAGGTGTTAGGGTTTCAGCTTGCATGTTTAATGTTCTCCCTTCACTAATTGTCCTACTTTTACAGCTAATGTAATGGAGACCTTGCGTGGGGATGGGAATGTCCTTATTTCCGTGGACACGGCTGGACGCGTCCTGGAGCTGGCACAGCTCCTGGACCAGATTTGGAGGACAAAGGATGCTGGACTGGGAGTTTACCCGTTAGCTCTGCTCAACAATGTCAGTTACAATGTGGTGGAATTCTCCAAGTCCCAGGTATCAGTCACTGGTTTTCCCACTTCCTTAGTATTGAAACGGAGACCTCGTAGGAAATATGACAAACTACCGCATTTCTAATTTCCTGTAGGTGGAGTGGATGAGCGACAAACTCATGAGGTGTTTTGAGGATAAAAGAAACAATCCCTTCCAGTTCCGACACCTGACCCTGTGCCACAGTCTGGCAGACCTGGCCCGGGTCCCCAGCCCCAAGGTGGTGCTTTGTAGCCAGCCAGACCTTGAGTCTGGTTTTTCCAGAGAACTTTTTATTCAGTGGTGTCAAAACGCAAAAAATTCCATCATCCTGACCTACCGCACCACACCTGGAACGTTGGCGCGCTACCTCATCGACAACCCTGGGGAAACGATGCTGGATCTGGAGGTGAGACTGGGTTTTTGATGACCAACTTTTCACGTGGTCTTTGTTTCCTACTTTCACACTTAAAATGTTTTGTTTTATTTTTGGCAGGTCAGGAAAAGAGTGAAGCTCGAGGGCAAGGACCTGGAGGAATATCTGGAGAAGGAGAAAGTGAAGAAGGAAGCAGCAAAAAAACTCGAACAAGCAAAAGAGTGAGTCTCAGTAGGAAAAGGAAGAGTTTATGTATTTTTCTGACTCTTTCTCAGCAGTTTGAACCTGTCGATGTCAGAGAACAGAAATAAATGACCTTCTAGGTGATTTTAATCTGTTTTGTGCTTGTTCCACTCTACTTCCTGGGTTTGCAGGGTGGATGTGGACTCGAGTGATGAGAGCGACGTGGAGGATGACATCGATCACCTAGCTGCGGTGAAAACCAAGCATCACGACTTGATGATGAAGAGCGAGGGGAGCCGTAAAGGCAGTTTCTTCAAACAGGCTAAAAAGTCTTACCCGATGTTTCCGGTACACGAGGAGAGGATAAAATGGGACGAATATGGAGAGATCATCAGGTACTGAAGTATTTATGCTCAGTAATGTCACACAGCTGACAGCTCTGTGGTTATTAATTTAGCTGCATTGTTCTTTTAAAGGGTAGAAGAGTTCCTGGTTCCTGAACTTCAAGCCACAGAGGAGGAGAAGAGCAAACTGGAGTCGGGTCTGACTAACGGGGATGAGCCCATGGACCAGGATCTGTCTGTCGTTCCCACCAAATGCATCTCAAGTATAGAAAATCTGGAGATAAGGTCAGCCATCTTTATCCTGATGGAGCGTAGGAAAGTTTGATCGTCGGCATTTCAAATTTTCGTTTCTCTTCACAGAGCCAGGATTGCATATATCGACTACGAAGGTCGCTCTGATGGCGACTCCATAAAGAAAATAATTAACCAGATGAAGCCCAGGCAGCTCGTCATTGTTCACGGCTCACCAGAAGCCAGCCAGGACCTGGCTGAGTCCTGCAAGGCTTTCAGCAAAGACATTAAAGTCTACACACCCAAGCTGCAGGAAACTGTGGACGCCACCAGTGAAACACACATCTACCAGGTGAGCGACGGTGTGAGAGGATCGATTTGTAAACATATAAAATGATTGTTTTATAATAAATGAATCATTTTTAGTCTGATTCTCCCTATTATCTGTGGTCTTTACGATAAATGTAGCCATTGTTGTAACCATCACTCATTCCCTTTATGGAAAGGTGCGTTTGAAAGACTCGTTGGTGAGCTCGCTGCAGTTCTGCAAGGCCAAAGACACGGAGCTGGCGTGGATCGACGGCGTGCTTGACATGCGTGTAGTGAAGGTGGACACCGGCGTGATGCTGGAGGAGGGTGTTAAAGAAGAGGCGGAGGACAGCGACATGCCAGTGGACATCGCCCCCGATCTTGACATCGATCATGACGCCACGGCGGTGGCAGCTCAGCGCGCCATGAAGAACCTGTTTGGAGAGGATGAGAAGGAGGTGTCGGAGGAGAGTGATGTCATTCCCACGCTTGAGCCGCTGCCTCTGAGCGAGGTGGGCAGCACATAATTTACGCTGCAGTTTTTAGGACAGTGTTGTCATCTAAAGTTAGTTATTGTTTACATTGTTGGAAATCATTTCCACGTATGTGTTTTTGATCCAATAAGCATGAAAAGTTGTTAATTTTAAGAGTAAAATGTGTGTTTTAATAGCAGCTGATGTCAAAAAAATCTGTAGTTCCAGGTTTAAATATTTTTCATTTCTCATCTGAGCCGTTGAGCTCAGATGAGATAAGCAAACCCTTCATCTCCATTTTACTCGTTTTTACTTCTTTAGCCCGAGCCAAACTAACAGCCCAGATGTGATCATGTCCAACATTTACTCGGTCTGTGTTCAGATTACTGCTTACACACCTGATCTCTGCTGAGTGGGAAGGTTTTTTTTTTTTTTATTCCTGATTGTAGGTGTGAAAAAAGCCTCTTTTTCCTGTCAAAATCAGTTTGACTGAAGCTGTTTTCCCTCCCCACAGATTTCAGGGCATCAGTCTGTGTTCATCAACGAGCCGCGGCTGTCCGACTTCAAGCAGGTCCTGCTCAGAGAGGGCATCCAGGCTGAGTTCGTGGGTGGAGTCCTGGTGTGTAACAACATGGTGGCCGTCCGCAGGGTGAGTGTCACATCTGTCAGCTGCAACCTCACCGTAAAACAGAAACCTACTACTAAATAAAGTCATTTATTCTCATCAGATGCTGTTTTTAAAGCGAAAAGGCACAGATAACACTTGTCAATGTTTGTCTGTGGAATAAAAACTAGCAGAAATATCTGCAGCTCCCCCTACTTTATTGTTTTTACTGTGAGCCATAAAATGTTTAGATGTGTGAGCTGTGTTAATGTGGTGAAGAATACATGAGGGTTGTGCATGCTGAGCATCTGTCAGGACAGAAAGCAGCTTTGGAGTCTAGAGCAGCTCCAGGCGCTAAAATATTTAAGCTTCCTGCCGACGGTGTTTACATAAACAGGAGGAATTATTACTGCAGGAAAATCTATTTTAAAGAGCAAGTCACCCCCAAATCAACTATTTATTACTGATAAACTATATGAATGCGTGTCTAATCGTGCTGCAGACACGTGTAGTCAATAGTTTTGCACTTTAGTGCATTTTAGTTAAAATTTCAATTTTCTGCCTAAAACTGTCAGTGTTGTGTCGTTTTCAGGTAAAAACTGCACTGCATTGCCATCGCTATTGGCTAAGAGGTACCCTAGAATGTTAGCTGGTACCATATGATGTCACAATGCCGTTGTGAGCCTGTGTGTGTGTGTGTGTATTTGTTAGTGGCTCCGCCTTCTCGGTCTGCCAGGCAACAGCATTTGTTGCATTTTTCAAACAAGAAGTGAGAGTGGACTACCGTATTGTCCGGACTATAAGTCGCACTTTTTTTTCATAGTTTGGCTGGTCCTGCGACTTATATACCAAATTATGTATACCGCGCTGCTGCGGGCCGGCTCCGACCCAGGAATGAGCTCCCCTGTCCCGCTGAGAGGGTTTCAAACACCGCCATCCTCTGCTGGAGACCGTGGCGCGCTGCTGCGCCCTGGTTGTTTATTCTGTTATTGTTACCGGTACTTGTCTTGCAATGTGAAACACTTGGTCTCAGATTTTGTAAGAAAAATAACAAAATTTCCCCCCAAAATGCGACTTATAGTCCAGTGCGATATATATATATGTTTTTTTCTTCATTATACATTTTATGGCTGGTGCGACTTATAGTCCGGAATATATGGTAATACTCTGGTAGGGGGTGACTTGCTCTTTAAAGCGGTAACAAGGAACTGTTCAAACCATTCTTTAGTGCCCGTGTGCTTCCAAAGAAAGCTTCTAGCTGCACTGAGACGAATCGACACCAGATGTAAAAGCATCCCGGCTCATCTGCACTAAAGTAAAACTGACTTAGGAACAGCAAATGCGTCAGACTAGAACTTAAAATAGATGCAAACAATAGAGAAACCAGGGAGCTCTGTTAATGGAGTGTGCTTACCTGCTGTTTGAATGAAAACTAATCAATGTGGATTCAGTAGACACTTAAAGCCTGCTGGAAGGAAGAGGGAACAGACATTAGAGGTCTTTTACTGCCTGTGAGGTTTGTTTCAAGACAAACTCCTCCAGGACTGAGATGACCCGTGCATATTCCTGCTTTCTCTGTCCAGACTGAGCCGGGACGGATCGGACTGGAAGGCTGCCTGTGTGACGACTACTTTAAGATCCGGGAGCTGCTATATCAGCAGTACGCAGTTGTGTAGCAGCAGCAGATCCAGCAAAGCAGAGACTTTACACGGACTTCACCAAGAGGAGAGCGGTGAAGCACTGCCTCACGGACGGCTCCATCTCCTGCGCTTCAGACCTTCTTGTACATTTTGTTTCTAAAATATTGTTTTTTACCGTTTTTCTCCATCAAGTGAAATGCAGATGCTTTATTGTGAGCAAACTGTAGCCCTGAGGTTTGCATGTTTCTGCAAATCCACCAACTTTACAGAGTTTTGGTTCTTGTTCTCTCAGTAAAATGTTTTTCATGTTTAGATTTGTTTCATTGTCTGCTGTGCACATTTCAGGGATTTAAACACACCTACATGAACATGAACCTGTAGAATTATTCCTTCATTAATTTGGTAAGTAAATAAAGCCAGGGCTGAACCGCAGCGCTTATTATATTTTTTTATTATGCAAAAGTTTGAAAGCTTGCAACACAGATTCTGCTCACCTGATCTGTTTGCATGGATGTTGTAGATTGTAGCATAAATGTTTAAGTTCCCTCACATTTAGGATGAGTTTTTCTCTCAAATGGTAAACGATGGCCTGTATTTGAGGCGCTTCACAACACAATCACACATTCACACGCTCTTAAATTTCCTTCAGCAGCACACTGATAATGCAAGTGTGTATGTGGTGGCTTCCAATTTGAACACTTGAAACCACAGTGTGGTATAGATCTGAGATGCAGTGGCATTTCAGAAAGCCTATACTCTCCAAAATGCTGCTAAAGCTATTTTTAACTTGTGTTTTATAAAACCTTCCCAAACAACGCGCCTGAAGCTCGGCAAAGCTGCAGTCACCGGGGACCGCTCGCATAGATTCATATCCGTTGTGTCAGTGCAAAATCCCTGAGACCTTTAATCTGCTTTTAGTGCAAGTCGCGATATGAAATCCCAGAAAATTGAAAGTAATCTGTGGTGTAAGTGCCGTGTGCCATAAATTTTTCTTCTGACATTACTTGGAACTAACGGCAATCACTGTTAAAATAGTTGTTTTGTTCAGGAGAGGCTAATTTTCACAATGAGTGCTCTTTAAAGAGCAAGTCACCACCTACCAGAGTATTACTCCACTCCCACTTCCTGTTGGAAAATGGAACAAATGCTGTTGCCTGGCAGACCGAGAGGGCGGAGCCGCTATCAAATACACACACACAGGCTCATAACGACATTGTGACATCATGTTACAAGCTAACGTTCTAGGGTACCTCTTAGCCAATAGCGATGGCAGATTTTAATTCAAATGCAGTGGAGAGTTTTTACCTGACAACGGCACAACACTGACAGTTTTAGGCAGAAAATTGAAATTTTAACTAAAATGCACTAAAGTGCAAAACTATTGAGTACACGTGTCTGCAGCACGATTAGACACACATTTATATAGTTTATCAGAAATAAATAGTTGATTTGGGGATGACTTGTGCTTTAAGGTCCTTTTGATGTGTTTCTGTGTAAAAGTTATTGATAATTACATTTTTTCCCCCAAATTTGAATAGCTTCCTGAACAACCTCTGCAGAAGTTTGTAGAAATAGCTTTTATTTCATACAGAACTAATGAGCTAACTATTAGTCTGAACTCTAGATCTATGTTGTTTTTTCCATTGTAAAATGGCTCCAGTCCTCAAATAATATTTTCACTAGCAGGGACATTTTTGTGAGATTAGAGCTCAATGGCTGAGGAACAATAGGACTAAGCAGCTGCTTTTAAGCCTCCAGGCCAACAGGGGGCACCCAGATGCTCTTAAATAACCACATAAAACCTTCATATTCAAATTCAAATAAAAAAAAACTTTAATCATCCCCGAGGGGCAATTGTTTCAGTACAGAAGAATTGGTACTGTGGTCATTCGCAACAAGAGTCGCGCTACCGTTAATTAGATGAAAAGGGGATTAAATGAGGATAAATTGGGGGAGGGGAAAAAAAAGGCACACCAGAGTTACTCCCGGCAGGGCGTAGCTTTATTATGCAAAAAAATGCCTCAAACATATAAGCACGAACATCAACAATTCACAACATGAGACACAGAGAGGAAGGCGGGGGGGGGGGGGGGGGGGGGGGGTCCTGCTTCCCCAGTGAGAGCAGCCACTGTAGCCACAGGTGGGAGGGAGATCTTGGGAGGATCACAGAGCACATTGCCACCTGCAGGTTGATGACCTCGCCAGGCTGAAGTCCACCAATCCGAAGGGGGGGGGGGGGGGGTTCACAGCATCTGTCTGCATTCCTTTATGGGGGTTTGTTGTTGGCATTCACAAAGCTGCCATGGCGTCAGATTCGGATAACAAGACTTTGGGTCAGGCAGAGATAATTTTCCTCTCTGCCTTGAAGTCTGTAACTGATCATTCAAGTCCTCCAGTGAAGCCAATTCAGGTTTTAAACATCTCCACACCGTCCAGTGACCCTCTCCGAGATGACATCCATTTTGCGCACTAATACCGGTATCGCAGCTAGAACATTGACCAGCTTACGATTCACCTCGGGTAACGTCCCAGACTGTGAGGTCTTCACACGGACGGTGCTTTCCGTGGGTGCAGGTCGCCCTCCAATCGCTCCCATCTTCCCAAATTTCCAGAAAACCAGATATCCTCCCATTCCAATCAGAAGAAATCCAGTGATCATCAGGCCAAATATCCACACATCTTCGACATCCTCAATGGACAACTAAGAGAGGCATACGATCTTCCACTCCCTCCAGGAATCGAGCGCATATCCCGCTGCGTGTGTCCCTTGCGGGCAAGTGGGAGCCCCCTCCTACGTTCTCATCATAGAAAAAATCTTGTCAATCGCGTTGAATGACCAATTCATTAAATCCATTCTAAAAAATAGGGTTTTTCAGAAGAAATGCAGAGAAGCGCTCTGTGGGCAGACAGGACAAAGAGCCTTGGGGAAAAAAAGATAAGGGAGCAAAAGCAGAAGCGTCTGTACTCTACGAGTGCCGGAAGAATCATATCAGATCTTACCTACATAGTTTGATAAATATGTTGACTTTTGCTGTCTTTCCACCTCTACAGTCACTGGTTTCCACTGTAGGGGTTCCAGGACATTTCAGAGAGGTGGAAATTTGACCAATAAATGAGATAGCTTGGTCTTCTCAGCAATAGTGTATGGTTGCAGATTCAGGCCCACCACAGTTTTGCTGTTTTTAAACTGTGATTGTTAAGATAGATACTTGACTAGTTTCATATTTGATACCCCTCTGCTGACCAAAAATTGCACTTTGTAGTTTAGTGAGTAGGTATATGTTCTTTACCTGCTTTACAGATGTTAGCTGTAATGCTAGCTAGCGTTTAGCATTTTTGTTCATCAATAGTCAATACAAAACACAAGAAGAAGACAAAGAAGTTCGCTCTTTGTGTTGGCATCATGCAGCACCAGAGAGTAAAAGTAAGAGAGTAATGTTTGGAGGCGAAGCAAAGAGCTAAAACCAGAGTGAACATCAATGCAACCTACTGTATGCTAGTTTAAGGGAGCTAAAGGAGGCTACAAAATCACGGACTGATGGTGACCTGGCTTTGCTGCTACTGGACTTGTAAGTAATAATAATTTTTGTCCAACACGGGATTTTTTGAACTTCGTGGTTTACGTTAGTATTAGCATTATCTTGTTGTTAGCGCTAGCAACAGCTGGGTTGTTTACGACAGATGTAATTCCACTTTCAACCAGTAGGGCAGAGAAGGAAACTGCTCTGTATTACTTTATTGTAGCGTGAACACTCACTGCTTCTTTCCTTTGCCTTTTATTCTGCGTCACCAGCAACCCTAACAATTTTACAAATGCCAGTTGTTTGGGGACGTCTGCTGATGTCATTTCCTACTGAGTTACAATCAGTCAGCGTAGTAAACAAAGTTTCCACTCAGTGGCTCTACCGGGCCGTTCCAAGTATCTGCCCCTGCTCAGGTACTTCCGGAAAACTGTCCTTTTGGCTGGCCTGCTAAAGTGTAGACATGCATGCTGCGAATATCTATTAAAATTCTCAGGAGTTCCGATAGTAGAAACACATCTTTAGCAATGTGTTAAATTGTAATTTAGTTCAATTTTGCCAACTATGTCTAAATTGGTTTATATTTCAGTAGGGGTGTCCCGTTCTGATATCGGCCCCAAAACACTGTATTGATAAATCAGACTGCATGAAAAATCTCCGATATAAGCAGTCCGTTAAGGCTCACATTTTTTAAACCAACGGTTAAAAAAAAGTATTTTTTTTTCATACTTGCTCTTGTTCTTCGATTGAGTAAAATCACTTGATTAAGCCTTTCATACATACACACTATGAAATAGGTAATAGTATGTGTGATTTGTGCTATATCGTATCGGATTGATATCAGTATCGGTCAAGACTGAAGGCTGCAATATCGGTATCGTATCGGAAGTGAAAAAGTTGTATCGGGACATCCCATATTTCAGTATCTGCAATTAGATTCCATCTTGAACTAGTGGTTAGCTCATCAGTCCTGTTGGATGCAAAAGCTATTTTTCCAAACAGAGGCTATTCACCAAAGAAACATCTGTTAATTAAATTCTGTCTTTCATCTAAAAATGCTTTGTACGCACTAGTGAGTTATTAAAAAAAAAAACAGGTCTTCTAGTTGCTGTGACAGCAGATGGAGACATTTTTCACTTAACCTGCCCCTGAATACCCATATCAAATCTGTTCCTGCAGCCAGGCCATCTGTAACACAGTGATGAGATGACATTGTCACTAAAGTGATAACCAGGGACTGAATATCATCCCTTCTGCTTTGGAGAGCCAGGATTAGCGCTCCCTTTAAAATGTAGCCCTCTCGCACAGAAATAAAATAAAGAAAATGTGCCTCCCTGGCTGAGTGTGGAGATAGAAACTGGTGGAACGCCTCAGTGGTTTGTTGTCTTATCTCTCTCAGACACATCAGGAAATAAAGCATCACCTCAGCTGTGCCCCAGTGATGTGTAACAGCTGTAATAGAAAGTTGGTTGATAAGAGAGGTGTGCTGAGGCTGAGGCTGAAGCTCAGCTCGCGTGATGGTGGCACACTGACTCGGCTGATTACCTTTGCAGCGGTGTGTGAATGCCCCGGAGTAGATCCTTAACACTGGCAGCTGTGGGATGGCACTTTTTATGGATATACCAAAACAAACATCTCCTCCTCCCCCACCTCCACCTCAACTCTCTCATCACACAGGCCCCAGAGCAGGATGTGACTGTGGAGACTTCTATGAAGTAATCACGGGGGAGTGTTCTGCTCTCATGCATACCCACACACACACACTTGTAAGGGAGTGAGAGTGCATGTGTG